AATGGTCTAAGTGACAAATTTGACAACATTGTCAATGTCATTAAGCACAAATCTCCCTTTCCATCCTTTGACGATGCAAGATCTATGCTCACTCTTGAAGAGCAAAGGCTCACGAAGTCTACGAGGCATCAGCCCTCGCATACCGACCATTCTTCTTCACCCAACGTCATGTACACGACCACTGTCTCACCGGACCAAGCCCCACGATCTGCGCAACCATGGAATTCTGCTCCTCGTCCTTATCACTCTCGTGACGGCCGCTCCAACAACCGCCGAGGACGCTCACGTGGACGGCGTCAATTCAATAACACACCAACATGGAATGCCAACCAATGGCCACCTTTCTGGCCAAACCCTTGGAACTACCCGAACTACACTCCTGGTATTCTCGGTCATTCCCCGATGTCGCACTCTCAAGTCCGACAACCGACGCCACAATGGAACACTCCTGGAAATTCCCCCACCTCGTCTGAACCAGCAACAGCCCTGGCACATGCATTCAACACGATGACGCTCCAAAACCCGGCGGACAACGCTTGGTACATGGACTCGGGTGCAACGGCTCATTTAACGAACCAACCAGGTAATCTTCGTACCATTTTTAATTCGAGCACTACTCCTTCTGTCACCGTTGGTGATGGATCTCTCCTTCCCGTTAAACACGCTGGCCATACCACCTTCCCTTCTTCTACTCGACCCTTCTCTCTACGTAATGTTCTCGTTACACCGTCCATTATCAAAAACCTAGTGTCGGTCCGTCAATTTACTACCGATAATGACTGTTCTATTGAGTTTGACCCGTTTGGTTTTTCTATTAAGGATCGTCCAACACAACGGACTCTTCTCCGATGTGATAGCACCGGACCACTGTACCCTCTCACCGAGCCTACCATCTCCGCATACCAAGCTAATGTGGCACTACTCACCTCACCACCCACCATATGGCATCGTCGTTTGGGACACCCGGGCATCTCCGTTCTCCAAAATTTGATTTCTTCCGGTTTTATTGAATGTAATAAGCCAAACATGTCTTCGTCATGTGAAGCGTGTCAACTTGGCAAAAGTGTTCGTCTTCCATTTTTCCGATCAACTACTACGGTTTCGGTACCTTTCCAAATAATACATTCCGACATTTGGACTTCGCCAATTCCGAGTGTTAGTGGTGTGCGTTACTATGTGGTATTTCTTGATCATTTTACACAATTTTTATGGGTATATCCCCTTCGTCGAAAAAGTGACGTGTTTTCCAAGTTTCTTCATTTTCACTCCTATGTTCAAAACCAATTTCAAACAACCATCAAATCTTTTCAATGTGACCATGGAGGTGAATTTGATAATCACAACTTTCAAAGCTTTTTCGATACACATGGCATCACAACTCGTTTTTCTTGCCCGCAAACTTCCCAACAAAATGGGAAGGCCGAAAGAGTCATACGAACCATAAACAATCTCATTCGAACCCTCCTATTTCAAGCCAACTTACCACCGAATTTTTGGGTTGAGGCACTTCATATGAGTGTTCATCTACTCAATCTTCTTCCTTCCACTGCCATTAACAACAACATTCCATACACTAAACTCTTTTCTAAACCACCCTCTTACTCCCATTTAAAGGTTTTCGGATGTCTATGTTTCCCGAACCTTACTTCTACAACACCACACAAACTAGCCCCTCGTTCAACGCCTTGTGTTTTCCTCGGATATCCATCCCATCATCGAGGCTATAGGTGTTTCGACTTAAAGACTCGAAAGATAATCATATCCCGTCATGTTCAATTTTATGAACATGACTTCCCATTTTTCAAACCTACACAAACATCACAGACCTCCTATGATTTTCTCGATTTGCACACTGAGGTCAATCCATTTTTTCGTACACTTCGTGAGATGCCCACTGCCCCACCGACGACGCCATTACACCAAACAGACCCATCTCCACCACTCATACACCATCAGCCTCGTATCTCGCCTTCACTCTCATCACAATCCCCACCGACAGTGCCACATAACTCGCCCTTGCCCTTACCTCCACAACAACCCACAGTCTCCGAAACTAGTACACACCACCCCATGAGAACTCGGAGCAAATCCGGTATCTCGAAACCCAAACAGGTCCTTTCTCTCCTAGTTGACCCGATCTCACCATTGCCAAGATCACATCTTTCTGCTCTTCAAAACCCTCATTGGAGAGCAGCGATGATGGAGGAACATAGTGCTCTTATTAAAAATGGGACGTGGGACTTGGTTCCCCGCCCCCCGAGGGTTAACGTTGTTCGTTCTATGTGGCTTTTAAGGCATAAGTTCAAGGCGGATGGCTCTCATGCAAGATACAAAGCACGGTTGGTCGCAAATGGGAAATCGCAACAACCCGGCCTAGATTACGGTGACACGTTCAGTCCGGTCGTGAAACCGGCGACAATCCGGGTTGTGTTGAGTCATGCTCTATCTCACGAATGGCCAATCCATCAACTCGACGTGAAGAATGCCTTCTTGCATGGTAACCTCACCGAAACCGTGTACATGTACCAACCACCGGGCTTTGCGGACAAGACCAAACCCGACCACGTTTGTCTTCTCCGACGTTCACTATATGGTTTAAAACAAGCTCCGAGGGCGTGGTTTCAACGTTTTGCCACCTTTGCCCGCCGAATTGGATTTATACACAGCAAATCCGATCCCTCGCTATTCATACTTCGGCGAACCTCAGGACAAGCATTCCTTCTTCTTTACGTGGATGACATCATCCTCACGGCATCTACCTCAACTCTTCTACGTGAAATCATAAAGTCTATGCATGGAGAATTTGCAATGTCTGATCTAGGCCCACTACATTATTTCCTTGGAGTACAAGCCACATTCAACAAAGGAGGACTGTTTCTTTGTCAATCTCAATACGCCATTGACATCCTTCATCGCGCAAGCATGGAGAACTGCAACCCGTGTCTTACCCCAGCAGACACAAAGTCGAAACTCTCGGCCGACATCGGAAAACCAGTCCAAGACCCGACACTTTACCGCAGCCTTGCTGGAGCGCTCCAATACCTCACGTTCACCCGACCCGACATCGCCTATGCTGTCCAACAAGTCTGCTTATTCATGCATGACCCGCGCGAACCACATTTCCATGCTCTAAAACGCATACTGCGTTACATCAGAGGTACCACTTCCCATGGCCTCCAGCTATTTCGATCGTCCCCGACCAACCTCATCGCCTACTCCGATGCGGATTGGGCTGGCTGTCCGGACACCCGACGCTCCACTTCAGGTTTTTGTATATTTCTCGGCAACAATCTCATCTCGTGGTCCTCAAAACGCCAACGCACTACATCTCGATCAAGCGCCAAAGCCGAATATCGAGCGGTTGCGAATGCGGTTGCTGAAACTTGCTGGCTAAATAACCTCCTAACTGAGCTACATTGCCCTCCCGCTCGATCCACGGTGGTTTTCTGTGACAATATCAGCGCGGTATATATGTCTGCCAATCCGGTCCAACACCAACGAACGAAGCACATCGAGATTGATATACACTTCGTTCGTGAAAAAGTCTCTCTTGGCCAGGTTCGTGTCCTTCATGTACCGTCAACATCGCAGTTTGCAGGTATCTTCACCAAAGGGTTATCCACCTCTCTCTTCCTAGAGTTCCGAAACAGTCTGAGCATCCGCGAACCTCCAGCTCCGACTGCGGGGGTGTGATAGATGATAATATAATTGACAGAGGATATTATGCAAATCAACGATTGTATTTCCTTCTTTGCATATATTACCATAACACTCATGTAATGTGTATATATGCTGGTCAATGAGAATACAGAAACCCTAAGGGATTATACCAAATTACACGTATAAGTTTACACATATATATATAGTCTATATGTATATATAATACCCAATATATAATTATGAGTGACAATTGATTGTTTCTTAATGGCCAAGAGATGTCTTCTTAATTAATTATCATGCGTTATAGTAATTATCATGCGTTATAGTAATCATAATCTTTTATATTTGGTATGTATACAAACAACTTTACAACGATACCATATTATTTCTAAATCGAGAAGGCACGATAGTTTATATAAATTTAAAGTACAAGATTACAAGAAATTCCAAATTTGTTATAAAAACAAAAACATATATATACATATATAAGAAAAAAATATTTATAAATACGTTGTGTATGTATTTTATATATCTTTATCGATTTAAGATTGAGTGGTTCAACCGGTAAATAAAGAAGTAAAGCTCTTTTCCAATCGAAATTTGAGTCCTCATATGGAAAAATGCATTCAGAAGGGTTTCTCCGATCCTCTAAAAGATATAATCGGATCAAATATCGGGTTAACTTCCATATTATCAAATATATATATATATATATATATATCTTTCTCGTTAATCGAAGAAAGCTATTATTTTCGTTCGCAATCGTTACGTCCATTAATGATTTGTTCGTTTACGTAGAAGTTTTCCCTCTTAATTTCTCAACAACCCCCTCTTCATATCAACCCACTCTTCCATTCAATTTTCTCTAACGGACATTTTTTTCCCCATATTTAAATAGATACATACATATATGTTTATATTTATATATAAAAATTATATTATTATTGAGTTGATTTAAGAATGCCCACAAAAAACTTTATATAATATCATATATTATCAAAATTAGCAACAAGAATAACGTCTCCGACAAGCTCGGTCGGTCCTACCAATTTAAAATCCTTGTTTAAGAAGCTTGAATATTATTATTATTATTTATTATTATTATTATTATTATATTCGGCCATATGATATACATATATATATTATAGAAATATCAAAGAGAGAGAAAAATACGACCCACCTCTTTTTTTTTCCTTTCCCGCGCTTTCACGCCTTTTTCATTTGGTTTCTCTTTCATTCTCTTTTTATTTTTCATAATATATATATATATATGATATACCTTATTTATTTAAATGATGATATTTTATTGAAAAATAGGCTCTTTCTATTTTCCTTTTCTGTATTTTTTTCAATCTTCCGTCATTTGCTCAGGTTTTCTTTTCTAAGAAAATTCGAAACCCTAGAAAATCTCTGTTTCTTTCTTCTATCGATTACGGTTTTTGAAAAAGTTATTCGATTTCAATGGAGACACTGAAACCGAAATCGACACTTCGGAGCAAGAGCAAGATCGCGAGAACTTTCCAGAAGGTTTGCAGCCTGAGAACCACGTCGTCGACGAAGGTTTCGTCCAACAATGGAATCGGAATCTGTATGCTCACGTCACGGAACCCTGACTTCGACGATGAGGACGACGACGGAGACTCCGTCTTCGACCTGAAGAGCACGGTGAGCAGCAGGAGCGCCGGAGAGGGCCGTGAGCGCCGGAGAGCGGTGCTCGAGGCGGTCGTGGCGAAGATATTCGCGAGCGCGACCGCCATTAAAGCTGCTTATGCAGAGCTTCAGATGGCGCAGCGTCCGTACGACAGCGCCGCGATTCAATCGGCGGATCAAGCGGTGGTCGACGAATTGAAGGCGTTGTCGGAGTTGAAACGGAGTTTCATGAAGAAGGAGTTGAATCTGTCACCTCAGGTAACGATCATGCTCGCGGAGATCCAGGAGCAGCAGAGCATGATGAGGACGTACGAGATCACACTCAAAAAGCTCGAATCGGAGGTCGCGGAAAGGCAATCGGAGATCGATTCGTTAAAGAAGGAGCTCAACCAAACCGTCGATTTCAACAAATCGCTCGAAAAGAAACTCACCGCGAGCGGATCGATCTCTCTGTTCGACAACATCCATTTCCACAATTTGAATTTCAGCCACTTCGTCCAGATTCTCAGCTATACACTGAGATCCGTTCGAAGCTTCGTGAAGGCGATGATAAAGGAAATGGAGTCTGCCCGGTGGGATATCGACGCAGCCGCAGCCGCAGCCGCAGCCGCCGGGGCAAAGCCATCGTTGCTTCGCCTTCGAATCGTTCGTCGCCGAAAAAATGCTGGAGAATTTCGATTCCCCGAACTTCTCGCCACTATATACCGCCGAGAAACCGAATCGGGAACAGTTCTTCAACAGATTCAAAACCCTAAGATCCGTCGACCCGACCCAGTTCCTGATCCAGAACCCGGGTTCGTCCTTCGCTAGGTTCACGCGCCGCAAGTACGCGAGTGTAGTGCACGCGAAGATGGAGTGCTCCCTCTTCGGGAACCTGAACCAGAGGAAGCTCGTGAACTCGGGCGGGTTCCCGGACTCGGGATTCTTCGCCGGGTTCGCGGAGATGGCAAAACGGGTCTGGCTCCTGCACTGTGTGGCGTTTTCACTCAGCGAAAACGTCACGGTGTTTCAGCCGAGAAGGGGATGCAGATTCTCCGACATGTACATGGAGAGCGTGACGTCAGCCGAAGAATCCATGATCGCCGATGAGAATTCCGGTTTCCGGGTCGGATTCACGGTTGTTCCCGGATTCAAAATCGGCGATACCGTGATTCAGAGCCAGGTTTACTTATCTCCTGCGAGTTCTTGACCTCATTTCCCGGCGAATTGCTCATGGAAAGAACAAACGGAAATCACCGGCGGTGGCGCGTGCGATCACGCTCAGGTGAGTGGTGGCGCGTGGGGGGGACATGATTCCTTGGCGGGGGCGGCAGTGACAAGCCTGGCCCGATGTGAAAGTGGGATGGCAAAAGCTTAGATAGCGTGGGGGTGTATGATGGTGACACAAAATGGCGGGGGAGACAATCATCATCGTTGATATTAGTATCATATTATATCTTTTTATAATAATGTTTTGAATATTTTTATTTTCCATCCAAAGGAAGGGAAGATAATGAAATATTCCCAAACCACAGATATAATCCCTTTTCACATCAATTCTCACCTCTAAAAAATACGACCGTTCTACCATTTTGTTATACATCAATTTTTTACTTGTATATTTAGATTAAATTCTCAAATTGTTAATGTGAATGGATATATATATATATATATATATATATATATTATAGAATAAAAAATCAAATCGAATATTATCGAAACGAATATCGACCACCTCTACATTTTTCAATTTGTGGTATTAAAAAAAATTGTCTGTTATATATTTAAATTCATATGTTAGTATTCATTAAAAATTAAAACATGTTTTGACGCTCAAAAAAATATATTTTACAAGTTCACACTTAAATAGATAATCTAATTTATTTAATAAAATAATAAATAAAAAGAATGAGACAATTTTTTGTGACATGAAAAGTCCAACGAAATTGGGCCATACTGCAATCTAGTTGGTTCATCAGTAATTTGCTGCCACTCATTTATTGCTCTTATTTACTATTTTTATTCATTTATGTGTATAATGTATATAAATATGTATGTGCATCATCATATCTCTCTATATATATGTATACGCTAGTGTGTATATCTATATATATATATAGGTGTATAGTTTTAAAATGTTTTTTTTAACTCGACATTTATATGGATAGAATTAAAATTAACGGAGGGAGTTAAAATGAACCAAAGCCACGTCAAATTTCACCGCGTCACAAGTGGCATTCCAAGCCGTTGATTTGAAATCGAATTTACAAATTTACTGTTCATGGGACCGAACAAATAAATGTATTTTGGTGAAAAATTATTAGCATCCAATTAATGGAAAATAAGTAATTCTCAAAAGGAGAGACATGGAAACAAAAATGAAGGGAAAAAAATGGCAACATAAAAATGGAGAGAGATGGTATGTAGAAGCCCATTTGGTTAATTTTTGTTTAGAATATTTTAATTTTAAAAAATATTTATCATTCAATTTTTATTTTAAATTTTTGGATTCAATTTTTATTAGAAAATATTCTAAAATTATTTTTTTCATTATTAATTAGTTTATATTTGGATTCGTTTAAATTCAATTTATATATATATATATATATATATATAATTATTTTAGACAATTTTATTTATATAATATTTAAATTTTATAAATCTAAACAAAAATAATATTTCTGCTTAATGCGAATTATATAATTTACGCTTAATGTTATGAGTGCGAGTAATTACAAATAATAATTTTTCAATGAAGAAATTAATCATAATATATGAAATATTTACTTTCTTATACATAGAACTGGAGAGTAGTTGGGCTTTAATGGGCCTATGGTGGAAAAATATAAAGCCCAATCTTTACGAAATATACTTGGGCTTCATTAAGGTTGAACCAATTAGTGGGCCCATTTGGTCAACTATTGTTTGTTTCTATCCAAATCCACGTTTTTCAAGTTTTAAATAATCTTTTAGGTTTATTAAATCACCCTTTGCCCCACTTTTACATTTATTATTACAGATATTAATAGTGGAGATGTTAACTTTGTTTGAAAAAAATTATATATATTATATAAAACAATGTAGAATACGATCATAAAAATAGAGATATTAATTTTAATTTGTTTGAATATATATATATATATACACACACACAAAAATTGCAATTGAATATATATTTTTTATATTAAGAAATAAAAATCCACATTTCGCCGAAAATGTTAAAGTCATTATCTTTTTTTGATGACGGTGTCGGTGAAATTGCGCGTTTGAGCCTTTTGTATTTGACCACCGCAGGCGGAATTCTTCAATTTACTATAAAATAAAATAAAATTATTTTAGGTTTCAATTCTGATTAATAAATAAAATTGGTTATATATTGAATTCAGAGTTAAATTCTACCCTTTTCGAAATTTATGATCGGATATTTTTGAATATATATTTAAATAAAAAAATCTATTGTATATTTATTAAAAATTACAAATATAATTTTAGTTTTCGAAATTATTAATTACTTTTCATCTATTTAAAAAAATATAAAAATATGTCTAATATTTATAAGTACAAAAATTTGATACCCTATAATTTTAAAATAACTTGTTCATGTCTACCCTTCGAGTATCACGACTTTTGTTTTCAATTTTCCTGCTACCCCTATGAGTGTATCACGACTTGGTTTTATTTTTCTCCATTAGTCAATTGAAATATTTTAAAATAAAATGAATATTAAATTAACCGACGTACTTATATTCAATTTTTCTCGATTTTAGTTTAACTCTTCACGAAAGTTATCAAAATATGTAATTAACAACCCGCAATGGCTTGAGATATTCATGAGACGGGCCATTATCAAAAATATTCTTATTTTGCTATTATTACTTCAACACATACCCTTCAGGTGTAACCATGTGACCCAAAAGGTCACATGTTGATCTCATTGCTCGTAACGTTAAATTTATTATGTTTTAATCAAATAATTAGTAAGATATATAAGATATGAATATAATGAATTAATGAGTTATAATCAATAAAATCAACATATGACCACACTATATTTTGGATCACATGGGTCACATGGTTACAGTTAAAGAAAGATATGTGTTGAAATATGAATAACAAAATAAGGGTATTTTTGATATAATGTCTCATGGAACTCAGATTATATATATGATTTAATCACTTCTTCCTTATTAAAATTTCAGAGATCATTTAATAGACACTCTTAAAAACTAAGATAAGTCTTTTAAATACTTGAACTATATTTAATTTCCATAATTAGATAGATTGTCGCAAATGAAATACTGTTCTTTCAACGCTGTGTTTTTCTATAATCTTTTTGTGTTTAAAGAAAGTAAAGAAATCTATAAAAACTAAATTATTTTGTCCAACATTTATCTTGTATCATAAAAATGATCAAAATTTATTATAGAGATAAGTGGATATAATACATGACATTTTTTCTCTCTAACGATTCGATTTCTTGTCTAAATTAATAAAACGGACGGTGAACAAAAAATTAGTTTTAATTATATTCCGTATTTTATTATTATTTTTGTTATTAATTTGTTAAAATTGTGAATGGATTTGGCTCATTATACTAAAATGGCGTATGCTAAAAATGATTATATAAGCATTCAATGAGAGAAGCTAATAAATTACAACGGGAGGAAACTCCGTATCATATACAAAGAAATTAATTCCACTAACCTAAAGAAGAAGAAAAAAACCCTAACATCAAAGATAGAATATCTAAATTTTTTTGTCCTCACAAGTATTTCAAAAGAAAATACATGGATATATATATATATATATAAAAACACGAGAAACTCTCTCTATATATAAAATTTTCGCGTCAAATAAGAAAATGAACAAAAAAGGAAAATTATATGCTTTTTGGCCCATCAAATGTTAATTAAACAAGATCTTGGACCCCCTCCCCACAAATCGTTACGGTTCAATAAATCGTATTTTTTTTTGGGGGGTATTTAGATAAATAAAATGAAAGTCATTTTGTATAAAGGGAAAGCACGTTGAATGAAAGAAGAGATGTATATAGGAAGAGAGAGAGAGAGAGAGAGAGAGAGAGAGAGAGAGAGAGAGAGAGAGAGAGATATCAGTGGCCAAAAGCGGGGCTAGGAACAGAGCGAAGGAGGCGACCGATGGAGTAAAGATGTCGGGCGAAGAGCTTGTGATTGGCAATGGCGGAGTGACCTTTCTTGCTCGGCGCAGAGTTGCTCGGGACCTTTCCCTTTGGAAGTGAAGCTAACGTTGTAGACTTTGTCACGTGAGGCACGTGGCTCTTCTTCTCTTCCCTTACAGCCATTTCTTGCTTCTTCATCATCCCCAAAAGCTTTCTTGATGATATCGGTGATGATGAGGATGATGATGATGATGCCATGAAGACCATGACTATGAAGAAGCAAATGAGCAAACGAGCCATCAAAAAAAAAAAAAAAAGCTTTGATCTTTTGGGTGAAATGTGTTGAAACAAGAGAAATTGGTTTCTGGGTTTTCTCTATTACACACACAGAGATGAATTCAAGTGTTTCGTGTGTGTGTGTATATATATATATAGAGAGAGAGAGAGAGAGGAGAGAGAGAGAGAAGCGTATTTGTATTTGAGAATGTGAGAAAGGGACTAATAATGCGTTGAGTCAAATCACTATTAAGCTATTTGTGCCTACCTCTAGGGTGGCTTAATCGGATTTCGGTTCGGTCATTTTCGGATTCGGTTATTTCGGTTTTAGAATAACTATAACTATTCAGTTTTTGCATTATATTCGGTTCCGCTACGGTTCGGTTATGATAAAAAATACTCACTTTTTAAAGAAAATTTACGGCTTTTTCGGTTATTGTTTTATTCGGTTCGGTTCGGGTTCGGGTTCGGTTTTTCCGGTTTTAGAAAAATCATAACCATTCGATTTTACATCTAATTCGGTTCGATTACGGTTATACGTTATTTGGTTCGGATCGATTCGGTTATTCGGTTATTAACCAAATAAGCCAGCCCTACCTGTCTCTCATTAAATTCATCACTATGATTATAAAATCATTTAGGCCCTAAGATAAAAGATTAAAATCAATGTCTTTATGGAAATAAAGTGTATTAATCAGTATCTTTTAAAATTGAGAAATATAATAACTTGTTTTCATTTCTAACCAAAAAAAAAAAAAAGGGAAAGGAAAAAGACTTTCCGCGTCCCCAAGAAAATGCTAGGAAAATTCGATCTTGACAAATATAGGAACACTTTACAAAACATTATTTTAATAAGGATTGGACCAAAAATAAACCCAAATATGGAAAACAAAGGAAAAATTAGGGGTGAGTATTTCGGTTCGATTCTTCAGAACCGGACCGAATCAAACCGAAAAATGGTACTTTTTTCGATCCAAAATCGTTCTCAATTCTCGAACAGTATTATTTTTAGAGAATCGAATTTTTTCGGAACCGAACTGAACCGAACTTTAAAAAATCCCGAAAAATCAAATATTTTTAAAAGAAATCTATCTTTTTTTAATAAAACTCGGAACCGAACCGAACATAATATAAAAACCGATTGGTACCTATTTTTGTAAAACCGAAAAAACCGAACCGATCTATTTCCGTCCCAAATCCGAACCATTTCCTGAAACGTCCACCCCTAAGAAAAACAATCGAATTAAATGAAATTTAAAATAGTTTATTTAAAATCAAATGAACCAAATACAATTTGGGTTAGAAAATCTTTCAAATGTGAACAACCCAATTTTAATTTGGAGAAAATCTTTATTCCTTCATGCGGCGAAAAATCAGGAAAGGGAGAGGCAAAGTCAAAGATAACAACAGAAGAAGAAAAAAAAAGTACAGAGAAGATTTTTTTTGACTTGGAGGAGGAACAAGATTCATGGGTCATCTAATCCACGATTAGTGAATCTAATCGTGTACTTATGTTACACTAATTGACTATACTAATTATTTAATTAAAAATCTTTTTTTAGATACGATAAAAGATACGATATGACACGTGGACATTAAGTTAGGTGGACAATTAGGATTATGGAAGCCGCCGGCCACCGTCAAAATGTGAATCCCCACGTTTCGCTCTCGTTGATTTTTTTTAGATAATTGTGTATATAAATTTAAATAATTCATTTATATTAATTTGTTTAATGATGGAATGGTGAGTTCAATAAATTATGTAATACTAAAATGGAGTTCAGTAATGTATGGTTATATTTAAAAGAAATTCGAGTTAAAGAATTTCAGATTTAATAAAACTAACAATCAGATTTAATAGAATATGAAAATAACCAAAAAAAATTGAAAAAGAATAAATTTTTTTAAGAAAAATGTGTTTTTAGTGAAAATTGAATTCGAATGGGAATCAAATAAAATCCTAATCAAATTAAAATTAAACCGTCACTTTTACAAAAATCAAAATAATTGAACAAAGAAATAATCCAAATCTAAAATATAGAACCTGTTCATAAATATATATATATA